TATCAGTTAAATTATCATCAAGAGTGCAGCAACAAACTCTAGAAAATTTAATTTATATACGTTGAAGATCACATGCATGAAATATATGATCAAAATCAGGAGGTATTTGAATACCATAATAATCGCAAACACTTATTATTTCTTGTTTATCTAAATAACCATCACCATCAATATCTAAACGTCTAAATGTATCTCTTAAACGTCTTATTTCACGATCACGACATTGATGAGCAATAAGTAATCGACATATTCTAGCTAATGGTGGTAATGTTATTGAATGTCTCATACGATTAATAATATTAAAATCAAATACTTCATGTATATTATTATTTAATTTAATATTATTTGCATCTCTCTGATATGATTGTGTGATAAGTGGATGATTTAATGCTTCACTAGCATCATATCTATCATCAGGATTATATGCTAATAAATGACATAACATATCATAAGCATCATCAGATATATGAGTATATTCATCTGATTTAGATATACGATCAATAACATAATCAGGATTTAATATATCCTTTATAACAACATCTTCATCATCAGTCAAACTAAATAAAGGTATACCAGATAATAACATAGCAAATATAACACCAATAGCCCATATATCAACTTTACGTGGATCTTCTATATAAGATGATGATGATAATGATAGTATAGTATGCTGCTCATCATCATCATCATCAACATGTTGTTCTTGTTGTTGTTGTCGTATCGCTTCAGGAGGCATATATCGTAAGGTACCTGCTGCTATGATACTAGTAGTAGTAGTAGTAGCCTTCTCCTCCTTATTGGGCCTCCGTATATCATCATCATTATTATTATTATTATTATGAGAAGCTGCTATGTGCGTCGTCGTGAGATGGCGTCGTGATAATCCCATATCTATCATCTTTAATGTAGCTGTTTTAGAGGGATTAGTAAATATAAAATTCTCGGGTTTTATATCCCAATGTATAATACCAGATTTATGACAGCATGCAACAGCCTTTAACATATGACGTAAGAATACAACTGCATCCTCTTCATCAACTCTACCTTTCTGGCCTACTTCATCTCGTATACGAT